GAGCTTGTCTGGGTGCCAGCTTTGACTTCACCCTGGTGGAGCTGTCCTTGGATAAATTACACGACCCTGTGGAGCTGGCTTTCTCAGTGGGGCCGTTACAAGATGAACTGAGATAAGGCCGTGTGCCCCTCACTCAGGGTCCAGTGCTCAGTAGGAGCGCAGCTGAGAATGCTGAGGCGATGCACCTTTCATGTCCTGGGAGCCCGCGATCAAAGGTGGTGCCTCCTGGACTTGGCTTGGGGGGGGGGGGGTGGGCCCCTCGGCAAGCTCGCCCTCCTTGCCTCAGCTGGGGGGGGGTTTGCCAGTCCTAAGCGAATCCTCGAGCTGCCCAGCTGTGTCATCTCAGTGAAATCATTCCATCTCTCTGCCTCAGTTTTCTCATCTCAAAAATGGCTCTAAGGATAGTGCGTATCTGATAAGGTTGCTGTGGGGACTGCAAACAGCGTGTGTAGACGGTGTCTGATGCAGAGTAGGTACCGGGTGAGCGGCAGAGTCTCCCCCCTCTGGTAACTTCCCAAACCAACTCCTCCCAGGCCTCAGGATGGCAAGTCCTGGGTGGGCTTCTGCCAGTGTTCGCAGCCAAGACGCCTTAGAAGGTTCTGAGTCATGAGGCTGAGCCGAGCCCTTGTCTGGACCTCTGCTTTGGGCCTTTCCCACCCCAAGCAGCCCCCAGAGCAGGCCAGAGGCAGGCCTAGGTTTGGAGAGAACGGCTGAGCCAAGGGCCTGCAATCAGTTCTGCCACGCCCTCCGACTTCTGCCCCTTCTGCCCTAGGAGGAAGTTAGTCAGAGCGAAGCTGCTTGGGGCCCCACCTGCGGTCAAGGTGTGAAATATGCACCTGGCTCATCTCTGCCACCCCTCCCCCTGTTTTTTTCTTTCTTTCACACCTCTGGGCTGTGGTTTGGGGAGAAGGGAGGCTCAGAGGTCTGAGCCTTGGGCCCAGTCCCTCACAGGAAGGAGGGCCCCTACAGCTGCCTGCCGGCCGCCAGCCAACCAACCAAGGGAGAGGGCCATTTTCTCCTCTTCCTGTCTCAGAGTCTGCTGTTTCACCACCTCTTTCTCCTGCAGCTCCTAAGACTGTCCCTTGGAGCCTGTCTGTCCAGGGGCCCCAAAAGCCCCTGGAGTGGCCACCAGTTTAGGCCATCCAGGGAGGTTGCAGCCAGGCTAGGGGATCCAGGCTGGAGCTCAGTCCAGCCCACGCTGGGGCCGAGACTTTCTTACTCAAAATTCAGAAGAGTCCCAGCCCCGGGCGGGGGTGCACATCTACCCCAGACAGCGCTGCCACTATGGGCTTCCTTCAACTGGCCCTGAATTTCCCCAGGGAATGAGAGCTGAGCTCAGGTCGTGGGGAGGCCAGGGATGGGGACAGCCCCTTCTCCTGCTTCTCTAAGCCCTCCTGGAGGCAGCCCTTTCTGAGTGCCGGGGCCCTGGGCTGGGGCTGGGGTCCAGGGAGGCCTGCCAGGAGGTGAGGCAGGCAGTCCAGGCTCATGGGGGTGAGTCCCCGAGCTGTGCTCACTCTTGGGAGCAGGGAAGTCCTCACAGAGGAGATGAAATTTCCGCTGGGACTTCCAGGATGTTGCTGTCACTTGTCAGATGGCAAGGAGAGACCAGGCAACTTGGGCTATGGGAATGCCAGGTGCAAAGACTAGACAGTAAGAAAGAGCTTTTGGTGGCATGGTAGTTAAAGGCACTGGATTCCCACATGGCTGACCAAGGTTCGAGTCCCAGACCTGGCAGCTTGCTTTCTCCCTTTCCCTTTCCCTCTCTGTCTGGTCCAATTAAAAAATAATAATAACAAATGGAATTAAAGAAAAAATTCTTTAAAAAATATAAGAAGAAAAGAAAAAGAAAGAGCT